CCCGAGCAAAATTGAGGAAGTGCTAAAAGAGACCGAAAATTAATAATATGCCGATAGATAAAGGAATTAACAATAACGAAACAAAAATGGGGCAATCAGAATTGGTAAATCAAGTAGTGTAATACACACTTCGAGAAGAAACATTCGGATGCTGATTTTTACGGTCCGCAAAAGAAAATAAAAGTAAATAATGACGCACTAGTAAAAAGTAAGAACGATTTTATCGAGAAACTAAATTTAGAGGTTTCAAAAGTCGGCACAACTTGAGAAATTATCATCTTGTGAGACTTAAACAGCAGAACTGGAAAAAAAACCATAAGGCAGTTATAGGTCAATTCGGAGAAGATCACGTAAATGATAATGGTACCAGACCAATATCATTATGCGAACAAAATGAAATGACAATTGCAAATATACATGGATGCAAAACATACAAAGAAACATACAACAAATACACATGGATGCAAAATACGAGAAGGTTAAAATCAATCATAGACTACAGACTACACAATCATATGACAAAAGATAAATTTGATTTTACAAGATGTAAGAGTATTGAGAGGAGCTATCTGTGGAAGCGATTTTATGAAAAGCTAAGATCACATTTGGAATAAATAAACCTAAAGAAGAAAAAGAAGGAAATGAAAGAAATAAAGTAATACAGAAGAGGTATAACCTAATCAGCCTAGGACAAGAAAGCGTGAGGGAATTATACAGAAATAGATTGAATTAAAAGTTGGAAAATAAACAATTTAATAATAATAAAGAACATTACACTCACATTAAAAGGTTTCTCCAGGAGGCAGCAACAGAAGCCATTAGATACCAAATCCAGCATCAAAGAAAACTTGAGAAAAGAAAAAAAGAATCCAATAATAAAAATTTATAAATACAAAGAATATAACAGATAAAATAATCTACAAGGAGTCTCAAGCTAAAGTACGATAAATGATGGAATGATGTCGGAATAAAAATAAAGCATAGCAACATTTTTAACGTTTCTGCTGCTAAACTCTATCTCTATCGAATAAAAAATCTATTAATCTAAAGACTATAATAATATTAAGTGCACGTGGACCACAAGAATCGGAACCCATAAAAGCTAATAAGAAAGTAAGATTTAATTTGTCTGAAAGAGGGAAGTTAGCACTATATGACGTATTCTATTACCATCCGCCGCCAGCGTCATGAACTTGGGATTACGTTCGCCCTGCTTCCTGAATTGAATTAGGAATTGTTTGAAGTGCTAATTTCGTCTCTTATAAAAGTTCGGACCCAGGTCGAATTCAGAAATAATCCTTCATTGACTAAATCTTTTTTCTGCTGATCCCAAAAGACTGCGAGGCCTTTGAAAAATACTTTCTTGTAATCACTGGCTCGTTAACTACCGCCAGAAAGGAAATTTACACGTAAAGTTAGGAAAAACTCGTTTGCAGACGGGGAAAATAAAAAATCAAAGAAAATTAGCTGATTAAGGTTTTTTTATGGAAGCGGTATCTTAAAAAACGGGATTTTTCGCACTTGCCGAGCTATAAAGGTAAACCGCCTCCCGGATATTCGTATCTAAGAGAAAACACGATGAAAGGGGTTTATGAAAAATGCTGCTTTATACTGCGTAATAATCCTTAAAAATTATACGGTTTAATATTGAGAAGTAAAAATGTTTTCATCGCTTCAGTCTTATTTTGTTTTCAAAACAAACATTTCCAAGGTATGTAATATATTTATAAATATAAGCAAAAAGAAGTTAAAACTTGCTTAAAAATTGTAAAATTTAATGTCTTTTAAATATTTTAGTACTTATTGAACTGGCAGCTTACTAGATAGATCATTCATGTTGGTAATAAGTAGACTTCGTCAAATATGCAAATAAAAATGTAGAAAATATGCGCATAAATATGCACGTGTTTACCCGAAAATATGCAAATATTTTACAAAATATGCATACAAATAAATAAAAAAATCGTAAAATAGTAACAACTTTATTTAAAAAAAAGTGTACATAACTAAATATTTCCTACTATTCATTAAGATTTACATTTATTTTAAGTAACTACATCATTTTTAAGTATGAATAAACTTATTTAGAATTATGGTAACAATAAATGACCAAGTGGTGTTCAAAATTTTCTAACAAAAACTTGTGGCTTCTGTCTGAGTACATATATTTATATATGGAAAAACTTCGTTCAACATCAACTGATGTAACGGGAGCATTTTTCAAACTAACCAAAACATTTGGTTCTAAATTAATTGTTTCCGAAATATTTCCAGCTAGAACACTGACTACTTTAGAAAGAATATCGTAATCTTTTTTTTCCATAGTAGCTTCAAATTTTTTTAAAATATATTTTCCAATATTACCTCTAACGTTCCGACAACATGACGCAAATTCTTTTATTAATGCTGTACTTTCGAACAATGACAGTTTTGGTGATTCTAACTGAGTAATTGTTTTTTGAACAAAACTAAAATTTGATTTTATAAATGAAAGTTCTTGTTGAAGCAAGTTACTCTGAAAAGTTTGTTTAGAATCCAAAAGAGATTGGGAACTTTCATCTATTAACGTACCAATTATGTTCTTTATTTTAACAAAATGATCTGCATAAAAATTAGCTGCTGCTAACCATGTTCCCCATCGCGTTAAAATAGGTTGTGGTGGAAGAGGAGTGTAGCATTTCTTTATAAAGTTAAATTCTTATAGGAGATTTAAGAAATACTTTTTTGACACTGGATATAATGGTATTTACAAGAGGAAACTTTTTTCGTATTTCCTCTGCAACTCTGTTTAATCCATGCGCTACACAAGTAACATGTATTAAATCTGGGAAAAATATTTTTAAATTTTGTCCTGCTTTCACCATTTAAGGAGCAGCATGCGATAAAATAAGCAGTAATTTATTAGAAGGAATAGTTGTCGGAAGAAAAAAAGTTGCTGATGTTTCTTGTATAAAACGCGAAATTGTTAAAGCATTTGTTTTCTCAAGATGCTGGCATGAAATAAGATGAGATTTTGGTAAGGTATCTTTTTTAAGAACACCAATCAATAAATGAGCAATATACTTTCCTGAGGAATCAGTGGTTTCGTCTACAGATATGTAAATATAATTATCTGCAATTTCTTCCTTAATATTAATTAACACCGACGAGTATAGCCCGTTCACATTATTTCTTCTTAGAGACCGATCACTTGGAACATTAAGTTTGCAATATTTTTTTAGAAACGAACTAAAATTTACATTTGCTAATTTTGAAAGCGGTATGTTTGCAGACACTAATGCGCGACACAAGTCTTCATTAAAAGTTTCTTGCTCATCTAATTTTTTTGAAGTAGATTGGAAACATTTAGCCATTGAAGTTTGATGTTTTCCTCCTATTTTTCCTTTTTTTGCAATGTGTGAAGCAGTTCTCACATGTTGGTCTATCTGAAATTTCTCTTCACATGCTATCTATAAATAAAAATAAAAACCTTTATTTTAACGCAACCTTTAAAATATAAAAATATACAAGGTGTTTTTGGTTAATCAAATAACTGGTTTGGAAAAAAAAACACTCGCTAAGTATTTTAAATGCAGTATTAATCCACAAATTAATTTTTGTTACTAACCATTAGTACCTACATCATATAACTTATTTTAAAATTCAACAAAAGTTATTTTTTTGTTAATTCAATTACAATAAAAATAATTGTGTTTTAGAATAGCTGACTTCATAAAAAAAAGTAAAGGTGAAAATTTTTCTAAATACACACTATTGTATTGTACCGTGGACAATTTTTTCTCACTAAAGGAAGCTATTTTTCATTTAAAAACAACCTACGAGTACTAAATTTCAAGTTATTGTTATTATTAACTAAAAGAATTTAATTTTTTTTAATTTTAACACCCTGTATCTCGAAAAGTAAATAAGTTTGACCCCTAATTAACTATATCGTTTTGTTCAATTTTTGAGAAGTATCTACAGTCAAACGTTGTAAGTGTCATTTGGAAACACCCTGTATGTATGAAATATTAGATATTTAATAGAAAATATTAGATACTTACAATTTTGCCACAGACTGAACAGTAGATTTTTCCCATATCCATAGACAGCTCTTTATAAGGTTTAATCCAAGTTGAAGCAATAGTTGTTTTAGGCATTATAAAATCACAATCTTCCTTTTTGTTATGCACAACGAGTGTTTACGCTTTGAATATCAAAACAAAAATAATTTACAAATTTGAGCATCAAATTAGAAATGTTTAGGTACCTAATTCAATAAACTGGGAGTTTTTGGAAAATCCCTAAATTAGGAACAAAACTATTAGCCGTTTACCTGCTGTTAAGATACAATAAATTGTAGATAGATTTGGGGATTAGATCATAAAATGCAAATGAGCGAACCCTTAGCGATTATCCAATAACTGAATGCCTCAGTGACCGAGACTTTCTAAGAATGTTGAGGGCTACTTAAATTGATCTTCTTTGAAATTGTAAATGTTTTGTACCTGTAGAGATTACGTACTTAAATCATTTCTTGATTAAAATGACTACAACATTTTATACAAGAATTGAAATAAATTGGTATGTTTAAAAATTTTCAAATACAGTATAAAAATCTGAACTTTATGCACTTTATGCAAACTTTGATACAAATATGCCAAAATATGAAATATTTGCCTAAAATATGCACAATATGCAAAATATGCAATATGCATATTTGCCGAAGTCTAGTAATAAGTTTATTTTTTCTTTTTTCGGGGATGTATGTTTTGCATTCTAACAGGATATGTTTAACAGGGATTCTTATCTTGAAGTTGTGACAAAAAGGGAACTTCTTCTTTTTCCTTTTTTTAATATGTAGGCTTTAAAGCCTGTAGACTTAACTTCTATTGTCATTATAATCTCTTCCAGTTATTTTTATGCCAGCAGCATGTAATACCGCCTTTGGTCATATACGACTGAATATACTTGTATGCATTTGGTAAGCGAAAATGCTGCTCAATGTGTTTGTTTCTCACTTTGAAGTGAAGATAAACTTACAAGAGATACGGTAAATGTAATTGACGAATGTGTATCAGATATGCCGAGACTATTATCGGCCGAATTTCTTACGAAATCTACAGAGTTAGATCTGAATGTAACTGAATGTTTCTCTAGTATTACAGCGACTCCAGCATCTTCACCTAAATCAGCAACATCAAAAAATATATTGTTAGCCCCTACACTAGGTGTTCTATCAGCAACAGTGACGAAATCTGAACATTACCTCCACAGCAACTTAGACGGTTTTCTAAAAAATCTTGGTGACCTTAGGATTCTTAGGATTTCATACAGATTTTGGTGTCTGACTTTATCGAAGGCCTTCTCAAAATCTACGAAACCTACGTAGAGGTCTTGGTTTACATCCAAACGTCTTTGCAATAACACACTCAGATTAAACAAAGCTTCCCGTGTTCCCAGTCCACCTCTTAATCCAAACTGTATAACGCTTATGTCCTCTTCTAATTTATTAAATATTCTTTTGTGAAATATTTTTAAAAATACTTTTAGTGTGTGGCTCATTAATGCTATAGTTCTGTGGTCTGAACACTCTCTGGCGTTATTCGTCTTTGGGATTGTGACAAAACTAGAGGAGAGCCATTTCTTTGGTATGATGTCTGTTCTATAAATTGTGTTAAAGAGGTTCACCATTATTTCAAGTGCGTCGTCGTCTATAAGTTTCAACAATTTTACAGGAATTTCATCTGGTCCTGCAGCTTTAACCCCTTTTGCGTTCCTTATAGCATATTCTACCTCGCTTTTTAGGATTTCAGACCCTGTTGTGTCGTCTGTAAACATATATTAAAAATAAATCACTTTCTATCGAAACAACTGTAGTGATAAGATGATAGAATTAATTTTGTGGAAGTTTTAAAAACACAAGTATTTAGTGTTTAATTGTTATTAAAACTATACATATTGAACGAATTTAAAACGGATCATACAATTTAATATATGTCAGTTTGAACTGCATTTGAAATAGTGGACCAATATAAAACTTGGACAAAAATAAATCCATACCTGGGTATAGACATTGTATAAAATATCGTTCAACTTTCTATCTCGCAACAATGTTGTTTGCGTAAAGGAAGCGATAATAGTTCAGGAAATGAAGCTCGGAAAAAGTTAAAACTTCGCAATTTTTTCGTGCTGCATGGATTAAGTTAAAATTTTAACAGAAGGTAGGCAATAGCCCAAGGATCAAAATCGATATCGAACCGAAGTGCGCTGAGGGGTTTTATTGCTCAAAACTACCCCTAATTGTCAAAAATTATAAAATAACATATTAAACCTGAGTTCCATTATATTTCAACCCTTAAAAAGCAACCCTTGTTAGAGATTAATGTAAAAAAATTACTAATTCTAAAAAAATAATTTCGCCTTGGATCGATCTAGATAAAAATTTGGATTTAAGCTTAATTTACCCACTGCTTTATAGTTTATGTCATGTCGACGAACCCTGATTGCTCTTAAGGGTGAAAACTGAATTTGAATTAGTTAAATAATGATTGTTTTATACTTTGAATAGAGTTCCATCATATTTCAACCCTTAAAAAGTAAATCTTGTTAGAGATTAATGTAAAAAAATTACTAATTCTAAAAAAATGATTTCGCCTTGGATCGATTTGGATAAAAATTTAGATTTAAGCTCAATTCACTCGCTGCTTTATAGTTTATGTCATGTCGATAAACCCTGATTGTTCTTAGGGGTAAAAACTACCCCTAATTGTCAAAAATTATAAAATAACATATTAAACCTGAATATGGGTAAAATTTGGTTTGAATTAATTAAATAATGATAGTTTCGTGCTTTTGAATAAAATTCCATCATATTTCAACCCTTAAAAAGCGACCCTTGTTAGAGATTAATGTAAAAAAAAGTAGTAATGCGAAGAAAATAATTTCGCCTTGGAACGATTTGCATAAAAATTTGGAATTAAGCTCAACTCACCTTTGCTTTATAGTTTATGTCATGCCGATGAACCCTGATTATTCTTAGGGGTGAAAACTACCCATAATTTTCAAAAATTGTGAAATAACATTACAAATCTTAAGATGAGTGAAATTTGGTTTGGATTAGTTAAATAATATATTTTCAACCCTTAAAAATCAATTGTTATGAGTGCTACAGGTGAAAACAATTTTTTGCCAAAATTTTGCAACTTTTCAAATTTTGAAAATCACCCTTTACAACATTGCAGTTTTTATAAACTAATTTAATAGATATAAATTGAAAAAAGTAGAATTAAATACAAAAAAATTATCAACATAAAAAGGCACCATATATTCTAATACATTTACATAAATAGTTGAAAATATTTACATTTATAGGTAAAACAACTATAATATTAATTTTATTCGTCATCAATTACATCTTTATCGTGATCTATGTCATCCTCATATTCTTCAATTATTGGTGGACTATTATTGAACCCTTCACCTGAGCACACAGAACAAGTAGAGTTACAGTATAAACCGACTTTTCTGCATCCACATAAAACGCCGCATCCTTTTTTGCATTGGCAAAAAATAATTTTCAAAAGTTCATTGGGTGCAGGTTGTTTGTTCATGCGTACGGGTAATACCAAACCATCTTTGGAATACCATCCCCAATCTGTTGCTCTGATATTTTCATTGCCAAGCCATAGACATATGAGCAGATGTTTTATTCTGTTGTATGAGATTTCAAAATAAGAACGCTTAAAATTTCGAATGTATAACGCCCCACTACCTAATAAACCGGTTTTGTAGATTATTATGCTCCGAAATGTACTGTACTATACTAATGAAATTTTCCGAAAAAAAAAATTAATTGGTTTTTTTAACGTATTTCCTTCATTTTTAACGATGAAATGTTTCTTTAAAAACGGTTTTGTAGATGTTTTTAAGAGCTACAAGGATCTGTAAATGAAATCTTTTTGGAACCCTTGGTTTTTAAATGGGGTGAGTTTAAAGGGCTCCAAAAAGATGGTGCTTGATCGTAAATCGATGCTTTAAACGGCTATATCTCACCAAATATTCATTGCACAACAACAAATCTAAATAAAGGAAAACTTTAGTCTTTAAAAAAGCTACAATTAAGTACATTTTTTTTTCATATATTTAGTATTTTAGGGGTAAATATGAAATTGTAAATCGTTTCTCGCTTTATGCTGTACTTTTTCTAAAACTAAACATTTTAAATGGGTCAAACTTCTTGGACATATTAACAATACATGTACAAAGAGAATTGCAGAAGGGTGAAGATCGATTTTAATTATGGGGGTGGTTAGGGGGTTGTTTTCATCGATTTTTTCGTAAAAAAGAGGTATTGACCTTATTTTCATCATAACTTACTCAATTTTTGAGCTAGAGTCTTTTTTTATGATAGGTCTATTTATGCTCTTTAAAAAAGGTTCTGTGAATTTTCTTCCAAAAATGCATAATTTTCCCGATATTTGACTTTGAATCTCTCAAATTTGGCATTTGAAGAAAACCGCTGAACATTGATAGGCCATATTTCGGTTCCTGTTATATTGCAAAAATATTTTAAAAAATGAGTTGTATTTGTCTTTTTAAAAGCTACAGATTTGTTCTCTACAATTTTTTTGATAAAATGTTCCGTTTTTGAGTTATTCGCGAAAAATCGATTAAAAACGTCGATTTTTTCGTCTAAAAGTTGTTACTGTATATGAACTTTTATTATATTGTAAATATTGTAATTGTAAACGTAGTTAAAATACTTATACATTTAACGAACTCTTAGTTTATTGATTACATAAAATACATGAATGAATTTTGTTATTTACTTTATATATTTATGTTATTTCAATACATTGTAGCCCTCTTAGTAAATTGGACTATATAAAAAAGTTCGTAAAAGCAAAGAACGCGAGAATAATAGCGCTATTCATTCAAAAGGGCCCAATTGAGAAAAAACAGCATATTCAAACAAAAACGGACCCTTTAACGCAATAAAAACAAACATATCTACTCACCTTCGACGACCAAAAAAAATCCTTTGGGGTTTTTGAGTAGTATGGAAAGCGCCGACCGTGTCATATCTGCCAGTGAGGGGTCCCCACCGGAGCCTGGATCTCTGTCGGCCTCGAAGTCCATGTGGGAATACGAAAATAACCCTGTGGACAAATATTTGCAGGCGGATTAATCGAAAATTGGAACTAAACATGCTAAACAGTTCGGCGAAATGTATGGGACGGTAATTTTGTAAAACGGTTAGTTGGAAGGGCTACAAATTGAAACTGAATGGTGCAGTAAGCTGATAATTAAAAGTAAATCTCCGAAATTGTTTTATTACGTGTCAGTAAACATATTGTTAATAAATTAAATATTTTGCAGCAATTAATTTAGTTTTATTTGGAATTATTTAAATGAAGACGGAAATAAAATTTTTAAACTGGATATTGTGAAATCAATATTTTAGTATTTAAAATTGTTAAATATTATTTTTTTTAGTTTATTCTATTTCAACTACAAGATTTTTGATACTAAGACTGCAGTACGAATGATTACTGCATATTATTGCATACTGAACGATTATACTGCAGAAATAAGAGTCAGAATTGAAAAATGGCGCACCAACTTCGTGAAAATGAAAAAGATTTTATGCAGCAATGCTCTGACATTGGCCCTCAGAATAAAGCTAATTAAATGCTTTGTACACAGTGTACTATGTATCAGAATCTTATAACTTCAGAATTGAAAGAAGTAGAACAACTAAATGAAAATGCATTAGATATAGAGGTGACAAATATGCGAATAGATAGTGCGATTCGAAAAGCCCATACAAAATATAAGGAAAAAGTAAAAAACAAGATGTATAAACTCACTCAAGCTACTAAAGATCTTATAAACAAAAGAAGAAAATTGAAAGACAAATACATAGATAATTTTGTAATATTAGGACAGGTAAACAAAGATCTCACAAAATCCATTCAAAACGATGTCAGAAATTACAACACTGAATACATAACTCAAACCATTGATAAAAATAAATGTTTAAAGGTTCTGCGTCGACAAATGACTAAAGGATCAAAAAATATTTGTAAACTCGTAAATAGAAAAGGAGAAACTACAACAAATAAGGAAGATATTTTAAAAATTGCTTAAGATTTTTACTTAGAATTGTATAAGCGAGAAGAACGTCCAGATCCTAATCAAAATCAAATACCAAAAGTTCAAAATGTAGGCTTAGAAGTTATCCCAGATATCACAT